GGGCTGCGCGGCGGCGGAGGGCGCCCCCAGGCCCGCGGCCGGCAGACCCGCCTCGCCCGGCCGACTCCGGTGCCCGCGCCAGCTGACGACGCCTCCAGTGGCCTCTGCCAGCCCGTGGCTGGCAGGACTGGACGGGGGCTTGAGCTGCCCCCCAAGTCTGCTGCACCCGGGCTGGTGACCCGGAGCGGCCCAGTACGTGGAGTTGTGAATACACCTGCGGACCCCAAGACCCTGGAGGGGCGGGAGTCTGTCCGCTCTGTTCCTGAGAGTGATGTGAGGGGTGGCCGTGCCTCGGGCTCCGAAGCTGAAGTGCCCAGTCTGCCCTCTGACTGTCTCTGGCCCATTGTCAGGCACAGGTGGGCCCACAGTCCACCGTCTTGGGCTGTGCTCACCTCACCTCCTGGCACTGCGAGTGGGCCAGGCATCCCAGGCTGCAGCCACACCAGGTCCCGTGTTTGACTGTGCGGAGGACTGCAGACCACAGCTCTGGCGGGGAGCACCAGCAGTTAGGGTTCCCCCTGCCCAGCCTCACCCCTCATCACACACAGCCAGGCGTGAGGAAGCTGGCCTGGAGACCAGCCCTGGAACCTCTCTGCTTGACAAGGCCTCCCCCTCTCCATCTTCCTGGAAGGCCAGTGCCACCCTCACCATTGTGTCCTCAAATATGACAGCTGACAGAGGACACCGCTGAGAATCGTAGGGCTCTCGAGCCAATAACTGTGCCCCCAGCCCAAGGTCACCCCAGAGGCAGGGGGCAGAGCCAGGACCCACTCAGCCGGCTTCCCAGCTGGCCCCTGCTTCTCACCCAGTAGTGTCTCCCCTTGACCAGGCCCCTGGGGACAGATAGCCCCTCCACAGGCCAGCAGCAGACCCTGGAGCCCAGCGGAGGACCCTGTCCTCCTTGTTCAGTGAGGAAGGAAGGGCAAACTTGTGCTTGAGGCTTCTGGGTGCCAGACACCGTAATACATCTCCCGAGCTCCCCAGAGACAGTGGGAGTCAAGGCTGTTCTGGCCCCTGAAATGTGAAAAGAGGTGTGGGAGCTGCCTGACCCTCTCAGCCAGAGGACAACAGGGAGTACTGACCTGCCTGACCCACAGATGCAGGTGGTGGTTGGGGAGCGGAGCAGGGAACCCCAGAAGGGGACTCCAGAGCCCAAGACAAGGAGGAGCCTGCTTCCTAAGAAACCCGGGTCACTCTGAGTCTTGAGTGACAAGAGTCCAGCTCACTACAGTGGAGAGAGCCTCCCAGTGGACTGAGCATGGCCCTTGTGCTCTTACACTGGGGAAACTGAGGCACTGGGTAAGCCCTCTGTCAGGGTCCCATAACAGACCTCCAGGCCGCCAGGCTCTCACCGGATTAACTTTGAGTGCTACCTCTACTGCTCCTAGCAGGCCAAGGGCGGACGGGGCGGGGTGGGGGGAAGTTTCAGGTTTGTTGAGGGGCTGGAGCTGAGCCAGGGGTGGAAGACCAGGGACGGGGGGGCCCAGGTGGGGCCGGCCTGCAGTGAGGAGGCCCCAGCCCCCTCTCTGGCCCTTGCACCCAGGCAGAGCTGCGGAGTAGCTCTGAGGTGTTGGCCAGGCAAAGGAGGTGACAAGGAGGGAACAGTTTGTGAGTGGGGGTCCCAGCCAGGCCAGAGGAGGTAGGGTTCCTCCCCTCTCCTGAGACTGCAGGGCTAGAACCTCTTCCCCAGTTACAGAGAAGGGGGGACATTGGTGGAAAAGGAACCTGCCCACTTGCTGGTGAGCTCCCTTCAAGAAGCCAGGCTGTATCTCCTCCCCTGAGCCAGGGGTTGGGACAGACTTGGAGAGGGACTGTCCAGGCGCTGGGGGCCTCAAGGCCCAGGCAGGGAGGAGGCCCTGGCCTCCACCCACCCCAGGAGGCCCTGAGCAAGCAAACATCTGGTCTGGATACAGGGATCAGGCCTCTATCTGTGAAGAGGAATATCTCCCAAGGACACAAAAGGAGAGGGACCGTTCCCGTATGCTGCTGTCCAGAGCGGAGCAGGACCACCAGGGGCCAGCCCATGGCCAGCTAGCATGCTGCCCTGGCCCTCTGGTACCCCAGCCTCACTCACAAGATCACTAATGAGCTTTGTGTGTCTGTCCACAGCCCTCAGCCCAGTCCACTGCAGGGTCAGACTAGCACCACTGGTGGCCACATAGGCCTGCCACCCCCTGGGCTGACTGGACAGACACTGTCCCTCTCAGCTCCTCCTGGGTAAGGTGGACCATGTGACCAGAACCTGGATGGAAGGACTATGTAATCACGTTAGGCCTGGCCATCAAATCTATGCAGGGAGCCCCTCTTGCCCTCGCTTGTTCCCCCTTTGCCATGAGACTGGAGTCCTCAGGGTCCCCCAGGACCCCTGGGGCCAGTAGAGACTCTGGCCAAAGAGACCTCATTCCCTGAGGAGTCGCCTGTCCCCTCCCTCCTTCAGCTCTCCCAGGTTGACTGCAATGAACATAAGAAAGAGACTTTTGAGATAAAAGCCACCATGAGGTTGCCTGTTGTAGCCACTCACCCTGATATTTTTGATGTGGACGTTTTCAACAAGCATTTTATAGAGGAACCACAGTTTAGGGAGACTGAGGAATGGTTCCAGCTTGCACGACCGTGTCCAGTCCTCCCCAGGGTCCTGGCTCCACATCCCACCCGGCCTCAGCAGCAGGAAACCCCGCGATTAGCACAAGTGAGCTCCAGGAGCTGGGGGGGGAGCCCCCACAAAGGAGAACAGAGAGATCGGGCAGCTCGCAGTGGCCATGTGGGAAGGTTGTGGACACGGCAGAGCCTTTGTTTTGTATACAGTTATCACCTTACTTTTAAAGGAGGACACTAGGGTAATTAAACCAGCTGAGGTCACCAGGTGCCAGCCACAGTCCCCACAACACCTCCACCCCGCCAGTACTGGGGCCTTTTTACTGAATAGCCCGCGCTGACAACCCAAAGTTAAGTCCTGAAAATCCGTTCACGGCTCCACATTGTCCCCTGGTGTCTGATAGAAGCACTGCAGCCTCACCTCTAAAAAAACCCAAAAACCAACACAAACACCTTGCTGTGGAAGGAAAGGAAGATGCTGGACCGGGAGGATAGGAGCGGTGACTCCTGCGATGAGCTCTGTGTGTCACGAGGTGTGAGGATGTCGCAGGACAGGACAGGGTTCAGATGGATGACACCTAACGACGCCCTTGCTGTGTCTTGGCTGCAAGGCTCTCGGAAGGTGAATGTGCCTCCATCTCCAGTGGAGTTGCTGGTGGATTTGAACCACAGCGGTGTAGTGTTTGGGTCAACCTCACATAGCTCTCCCAAACCTCTGTGGGTGGGGCGCTGCCTGGCAGGCACGTACTTAGTTGCCCAAACCCAAAGACACCCCCCACCCTGCTGTGAGGGAAGGGCCCTGAAGAACCCCTAAGCCCCAGCTAGTCTGGCTGGCTGGAGAGGAAGTGGGTCTCACTCCCCACCCACGCTCCTCATCCTCGCCGCAGTCCCAGGCCTCTTTGAGGTGTGCCCCTGTGTTGGGGCAGTAGCCCTTGGGAGGCGGAAGAGGACACTCATGCTTCGGGCTGTACCCGGTCCTGCCTCACTTTCCCCAAGGTGCTCAGAGTGGTCCACCCGGCAAGCAGTGCAGGAGAGGCTGGGGATTGAGCTGAATCTGGGCCACCACAGACAAAGCTCCCCAACATCTTCTGGAAGGGGTGGGTGGATACAAAATCAGAGAAAGGGGAGGCCAGGGTCCTAGGGTGACCTTTCCCGCCCCAACTCCGGAGCCACAGTGTGGCCAGCCGGGGCAGGCTTTCCCTAGGACAGAGGGTCCCCCTGCTCGAGGGGCACTCCCAGAGTAGGACTGACCCTGGGCCTGCAGCACAGCCATGAGCTCTGTGCACCTCCACTTCTCCGCCAAAGGGGGCCATCGCGGCCCCTACGTACCCCCCTGACCAGGCCCCGGGGCCCAGGGATGTGAGGAGCCCCGGGTAAACCTTCCAGGCTCAGCGCGGGCCCTGTGCACTTGGCGGGGACCCAGCAGCCGCCCAGAACCTTCTCCCGCACCGGTCCCCCGCGCGCCCAGCCTCCAGCAAGAGCTGTTCTCGGGCGTCTGCCAGGCACGTCCTCCGCAGGTGCCGGCCTGGACCACCACCACTGGGCGGGCTCCAGTTACAGGATGGCCTTGTGCTGGGATCCAGGATCCAGCTCCGGAATCGGCGGGGGCCCGCTGGGGAGGCGGAGAGCTCAGCGCGCTCCCCTAGCTCGGGGTCTTCCATGAGCCTGGGTCCGCGCCCCCGTCGCCCAGTCCATGATCTTGGGAAACCTGAAGGGTGGGGCCAGCGGGGGCTCTGGGCTGGGGAGGGGTCTCCCAGGGACAGGGACTGCGG